GTGAACAGATGTGGCTCCCAGGAATGATGTGGAGGTGTGACCAGAACCGGTCAACATTAGACAATGGAACATGTCTTCCCATTGTACAATGTGAGCTCATTCCAGATCATTTTTGCAAGGTTGTCCTGTCATCTATTATACTTAACAGTATAGATCTATTCCTTTTCCGGCATGACTTCTGTGAAAATCTTTCTTTCTTTCTCTTTCTTTCCTTCCTTTCTTAATAAAGAAATACCTAGGTGGCTGTTCCTTTTTAAAGATAGCCTTAAACAATTTTCTGTCCCAACAAAAATTGTTGCTTATATTTCCTTTTCTTGAATGTAGGTTGGGCCTAACGACAATATAATGTGCTGAGAGTTCTCAGTCTAGATGTTAAAATGGCCTGGAAACTTTCTCTTCCTTCCCATTGGAGCCATGAGCTACCAGATAAGAAGTCCCCGCTACTCTGATACAGAGAGAAGCCTTGTAGAAAGACCCTCGAACATAAAAGGCCAGATGAGATGAAGTCTGTGGAGTAGCACCCACATGCACATCACCAGTTCCAGGAATCTGCAGCCCAATTACCATCTGACTGTGAGCTTAACAGTAACCCCAAGTGAGGCGAGGACTGAAGCCACATAGAAGATCCTAGCCAAACAAGGAAATTATGAAATAAAATAAAAATCATTGTCATTTTAGATGATTTGCTATGCAACATAATTGATCACTTACACCCTAGTCTGAATTTTTAGTAACCTTCAGCAGTTCTTTGAAAGATTTACACTGCAAATAAGGCATCTTACAATAGACCTGGATACTAAGGAAAAGAGAACTTCTTAAAATGAAACAGGAATAGGGCATTGTGAATAATTTTAGGGAACTCTTGTTTTTGTTGTTGTTGTTTTGGCACCCGGGATCAAGCTCACATCCTCGCTTTGCCAAGCAGGCACTTATACAACTAAGCTAAATCTCCAGCCCCATGAATCATTTTATAGTATAGATTTTGTTTAAAATAAGAGAAAAATATTACTCATTGCACAGGTTTACCTGGGCTGGACACTTCTAGGAGAACATCTAGCACATGGGGACGGGGTGTGTGTATGATCATTCCTGGGGTGAAGAATGTAAAAAGCAACTCAATGATAAAAATGCACTGAGTTGAGCTTTCAAACATTGGAGTAAAGCAAATGATCACCTTAAGACAGTGAATCTTTGTATTTCTGCGGAGAAAAAAGCACGCTGTTTGGCACATGGAAGCCATTTGGGACTTTCCCCACCTCCCTGTGTTAGCCCATATGGGGCTGGGTCAGATGCTGCAGCAGCGGTGGGTGCTGGCCCTGTCTTCCTTCCAAAGGAGAAAACTAGATCATTGCTTGTCTATCTATTATTATTTGGCATGTCTGTCTATCTAGATTTCCCACAAAACGTTGGATAAAACTGAAACTTGAAAGAAATATGTAAGGTAAAACGAACTCAAAGTCACTTGCTGCTTCTATGTATTTACTTGGTCTGAAATGATCCCCACATTCACTTACCATATGGCATTAAATCATTCTGGTCCTTGAGTTATTATTACATGATTCAAAGAGTATAATTTACAGAATTGCCAGCCCAGGTTGCACTCTGTCCCACACCAAAAAAAGACCACAAGCAGAGGAGAAGAAAAATGCCTGTTTCCTGGTAGCCCATATTTACGCAATTTTCTCCCACCACAGATTGTCTTGGCAGTCTAGACAGAGTCTTGTAAAATCCTTCCCTGATGTCATCCACATCCTTCCTTGATAAGTTCAAAACGAGTCCTGAGCAAGCATGGCTCCTCCAGGGATGTCATACAAATAATTAATGCAGTGCTCCTTTGGAGAAGCCTTTGGACTCTGGTGATGCCCACATGAGAGAAGCAGACAGATGAGCCGGCCCTGGCTCGTGTAAACATGTGGTGACGAGAGCAGTTGCTGAAGGGAAGGAAGGAACACACATATGGGCATTTCGCGTTTTAAAAGAACTTCAGGAAAAACAAAACAGATTAGAGAAAGAAGTAGACTACATTCAGGAAAGAAAGATTAAAGAAACGACTTTTTTATGGAAGCCAGCGAGACACTCTGAAATTAATGATTCCTTAAGAGGCAATTTAAATTTCTGTTCCTAAGGGAAAACATAGCATCATATTTTGTTTTATTTGTACAGAGGAAAATGTTTCCAGGTTAGAACTTCAAATTCAGGTTATGAAAGGTCAAATTTATTTTTTAAACACCCTAAATATTTATTATCAAGAGAGTAGAAATGAAACACACCAATATATGTATTAGGACAGAGGACAAAAACTCATTTAACATTCTCTCATACAGTGTGACAAAATTTATAAAATGTACTTAAACGGATATCAGGGTTATAGACTCATTGAAAATCAATTTCAGTTTGCTAGAAAAGGATTTGTTGATAAGCAAGCTGAAGCACAGACATATCCCCCTATTAAATATTCGGTACTTCATCCTAAATTTTTATTTTTTAGTACCTTCAGCCAGAAGTGGAAGAAAAGTGCTTTTTACATTGCTTTTTAATAGTCTCTTTGATTTAGTGAAATTCTCCAAAATAAGAGAAAAAATTGTACGAAAAGCAGGGAAAAACTCTCAATTTATTCTTCCTGCATGTGCTCACAACTGGTTATTTCAGGAAAAAAAGAACAAAAATCACATTGGTAGTGAGTTCCCCTGCATTTTAACAGGTTTCCTCTCTGCAGCCTCTCTCCTCTCTACCCTGTCTTCTTTAGGCTTTGTTTTCTCACTGGGAATTTTCAAAACTTTCCTAAGTATTCTCCTGCACAGATTTCACTTCTAACTAAAACATAGATTAATCATGTTTTGTCTTCACTGCAAACCCTTTGATGCCTTCTAAACTCCTTAGCATGCCCTGCCATCCACTTTGCCCAGTCCCACTCTGGGCTCCGCTTGACCTTTGTTAAAGCTACATCTCCCACCATTTCCTGGGTCTTCTAAACATCCAGTGCCTTGAATGGTTCCTGCCTCTCCTTCAGGAGTGCACTCCACCTGCTTGCAGATTGCTACTTCTCCTTTCAACAAAAAAACCTTCTTACACTCTTTCTGTCAGTCTGTGTGGTCACTCTGAGCTCCTTTAACTGACCGGTCTTGATTCCCAGAGCTGGCACCGTAGAGAAACAGCCTTGGTCTTTAGTATACTGGCCACAGCTTCTGGTTTAACTCATAATGAACATAATGTCTGAGTTTCTAAATAAAATAGAGAATAAGACATTTTTAAAAACAAAACTATTGTAGCCATGTCCTGCTCAGCTCAGCAGATGAAGTCAGCTGAGAGACTAAACTGGGAATACTTTCTTAATTTAAAATTTTTGAGTATATAGAACATGGTACTAAAATATTGTTCAGAAGAAAGATCAAAAAGACTCTCTGAACAGGTGCATTAGAAAAGCAGAGCTATTTTTGAGCTCTAAAGAAGTGTAGTTACCTACAGAGGAATACATTTAAACTATTTTTTAAATAGCTTATAAAAAGTAAAAATCACTTTTAAAAGATATAAATCTCCAGTAACATTTGTTGTGGTCGTATCATAAATATGCATGATAAATAATAAATTTAAAAGTCAACAAACTATCTTGTCAAGTTTCCATTTTTCCCTTTACTTATCATGTATAATTATTGCTTACTTATTTCTGTCATTCATTCACTCCATTAAGATGAACCAGTGCCATACCTGTGCCAATGACTGTTGCAGATGTGATGCACATCACATCTGGAAAGAAGGAATTCTGTTCCAGGCAAGAGTCCATAAAAGTCTGACCACCCAACTTAGCTTTCTCTAGGAGCCCAGCTCTTCAAATAACATGAAAAGGCTGTAATTCAGTTTTACTTATAACAAGAGTAATATGTATTAAAAGAACAGGGGGAGCCCACTTGCACCCATTAGTTGCAATACTTAAAGCATAGGAAAATAGCAGATTTTTGTGCTGGTATGGCACAAATGATACTTGTACACATTGTTGGCTAGGATTTAAAGTGCTCAAACCACTCTGAAGAACAATCTGATGAATGTATAGTAAAATCTAAATGTGTATTTTTATGATCCAACAGATCCTCTAGGGTATATGGGTATATTTATTTCTTAAAAACAAAAATTCTACCCTTCCCCCTACAGACATCTTCATATTTTTTCTCTCTTATTTTTGTATATTTTTATATATTAATGGAATTCAGTGTGATTTTTCATGCACATTCAAATTCAAGCACTTTTCTCCCACCTGTCCCTACTTCCCAATCTCTAGTAACATTCTGCTCTAATGTCAAAGTGTTTTAGCTTCTACATGTCTAATGAACATGCAGGACTTGTCTTTCTGTTTAGCTTGTTTCATTGAACTAATGCTTTCAAGGTCTACCTATTTTGCTTTAAACGACAGGAGTTTATTTTTTTTTCTGTTTAGTACTCTATTGTGTATATATACACAATTTTATACAAACAAAAAAATGATGGCCCCTTTAATGTCATCTATAAGTAAGAAAATAATGAAGTTGCGATAAATGTTAAAATCATCATGAGTATATCTAACAATAGTAATGTTGAGTAAAATACTGCAAAAGTATGTATTTACTTACATAAATTTAAATATACAAAATGACGAAAACAAATACAATTACATATGTGTGAAAAGATGAAGGTAGTGTGCAATCAAAACTCATTTTGGTCATAATCTCTGAGAAAATGGGGAGAGGAATGAGCCTCAGGCGTCATATTTAAGAGTGACTTAGAATTACCCATAATTACTCCTTAGAAACACAGGCTAGAATCTCCTATGCCAAAAAATTAACAGTTGTTTGTCCTATGTGATGAAAATATGGGTATTTAATATAATATCCTTGATCATTTTCTACATTCCTCTTATTTTTCCAAAAACATATACCTGGAGACAAGATCACAAAGTCTCGTGATCTCTGTGCAAGCTGAGGATCCTGTCTGAACATTAATGGGACCCTTGGGTTCTCCTTTGTCTGCAGGAGCAAGATTGTGCATGTCTGCCCACTGACACCTTAGGACATCTGCTGCCTGTGCTTTCTGGAACAGCGTTTCTCGGCTGCATACAGCTATTGAGTCCTCAAGACTGAGGACTTTTACTTTGAGCACAGTTCCTGAACATGTGTGGTGGGGTGTGGGATTCATGTGTGCCAGTGGAACCATCCTTCTCCAAGTTCTGTGACCTTCTTCAGCACCTGGGCCTTCCAGCGGTCTGTAAGCACTGAGAAACTCTTCCTCCAAGTGGCTGGCTAGATGAGATCTTCAAAGCCACAGCTCAGAGGAGAACCCAGGTATGTAGGAGTGGAGCACAGACCCTCCTGAGAAAAGAAAGGGTGGCACACAGAGATGTCATGCAGTGAGTTCAGGTTTGCTGAGTCCAAAAACATTCATAGCCATCTGGTGGCAGTACTGTGAGCACAGTGCACCCAATGTCACGTGGAACCAAAGCAGTGTCATCCAAGAGAGAAGCTAATCTGGGCAACACAAACCATGTCTTTTTAGCCACACTGATTATGGAAACTGCCTGTGGTAAGGAGGGTTAGAGGTAATTTTCTTTGGTTTTTGTTGTTGTTGTTGTTGTTTGTTTGTTTGTTTGTTTTTTGGTACCGGGGATCAAACTCACGACTTTGTGCTTGTCAGGCCACTGAGCTAAATCCTCAGCTTTAGAAGTCTCTTCTTAAACTCCTAGTATCATTTTTATATCTGTCACAAAAATATTCATGCTAAGCAGTATCGCCATTTGTCTTAGTATCTGCATTTGTCTTAGGTTTTCAGAGAAGTCCTCCAGCTGCTGCCACACTGAAAACTGTCCAGCTGAGCTTTTCAAAGAGTTGTTGTTGGCAGATTGCTCGGTTCTTTCCACAAACTGATACACTTGAGGTTTTATCTTTTTGTTTTGGCGCTACAGTACAAGAAGGAATTTATTTTTGCTATTTCCAATATTTCTTATCTTTCTGCTTGTCCTTCTTCAAATACTGAAGATCTGTCTTCCATTTGTATCCTTAAATGTAACCATGATCCTTTTGAAGAAATAATATAAGATATTCACTGGCTAGGACCTTCCTGTTTCCTTTCACTTACAAAATACACTCTAGTTCCCAACAGATTTGATAGCTGTTATGTGAGGAGAGAAAGGTAAGGCAAGAAGGCAGATTATTGCCCTCTAATAAATTTGATGGTCAGGGATTAAATGAAGTTTAAAAGTAGTATTAAAAGACCCATTTTACAGATGAAAGAAAAGAGACAGAAAAAGAGTGAGTAATTTGTCAATGTCCCATGAAAGGCAATTATAATTTAAATCAATTTGATTGCAAAGACAAGTGTCAATGTTACACTATTTTGGTTTGTTTTACTTTTGATAAATAATTAATGAATACTCATCTGCTTTATGTAAGGGTCACTAATTAAAATACTAAAATTGCTATGGTGATTGGTAATACACACCATCCTGACACTCTGGAGGGTGTCTATATTCTGGTAATCTTAGCCCCGAAATCTGGGATACATTCCTAGTGACATGTTTCATTAGGGAGCAGCACCGCATAAAGCTGGAATCACCATGGCTCCTGCTTCAGGTCTATGGCACCAGATAGCGTTGATGCATTGATATCTATGCAATTCTGAATGTTAACTATTTTAAATATTATCACTGTATAACAAAGTCAACTAATGGACCTCCGGCTATTAATTGTGGTAAGCCAGGAGAGGTCCCAGAACTTTGTTAAAATATGAGGAAAAAAACATAAATTTCCACCTGTCTACAGAAACATCAGTTCCTCTGAACAGAGCTTAGACTTTAGGTTAGATCAAAGTGGGTTTTCCCCTCAGCCTCACTATTTATTAACTATATGGCTTTGAGCCAATAATTGAACTGTATAGAGATCTTCGGGTCACTCATTTTGGGATTATGCTAATGTTTCATAAACACTCTGAGAGCTAAAATACTAGTATTTGGTACATAGCTGTTGTTCAGAAGGTGCAAGTTTTGCAAGATATTACCATTATATAAAATGGGCAAAGTATTAGTGTCTACTTTCTAAGACAGTTATAAGCATTATATGATAAAAGCAAGATTATCAGAGTCATACTTGATATAATAAATCTTTGATATGGATGGTTATAATTAGTATTTTGTTATAAGCCAATTCTATTTAAAATTTTTAATTTACATGGCTTCCTCTTTTAAACTTTTTTTTTCTTGAGACTTTGTTGACACTGAAACTCTACAAAAAATACTATAGATAATAGTTTTTGTGTTTTTTTTTTATCACTTGCTATAGTTTGAACTGGATCATCTCCCAAAGGCTCACGTGTTAAAACGCTTGGTAACTTGCTCATGCTGCTGTTAAGGATAGTGGAACATTTAGCAAAGGACACATAGTGGACAGATGTTATGTGACTGGAGCATCTCCTGGAGGGAAATATTGGAACCTCAGACTCTTCCTGTTCCTCTCTTTGTTTTCTAGCCACCATAATGTCAGGAGCTTTGCCGGCTACTCAGCCCTACCATGATTTTCTGCCTTATGCCAGGCCCTGAGGCAATGTGACCCGTTACCCATGGACAGAAATCACTGAAATCATGAACCAAAATAAATTTCCTTACCTTTTCAGCTAATAACAAGAGAGCAAGAGAAAGCTGTCTAACATACTGTGTTTGTGTTAGGATTCAAATCCTTATATAACATATAGCAGATTTAAGTAATGTTTTGCCTTCAGCTTGTAAGACTGAAAAACCATTTAGTTTAGGATAAGACAATAAAAACATCTCATAAGACTTATCACAAACGTGTACTAATATTTTGTTTTTAATATTTTGAAGCAATGTTGGGTAGACTCTAGATTTTAAAGAACATTACTCAAAAAGGTGAAGATGAACAACATTTGCTCAAATTTTGTTTTTAATTGACTTTGACAACATAAAATAAATATTCAAGTGGAAAGGCAGAATGACATCCTTTGGGAGAATCTTATTTTCTTTTTGAATATTTAAGGTAGGATTTTTAAGAGAAAGATGGAGAAATTAGGGTACAAGTCCTGTGTATTCCTACAAATGAGATGAAATCTCACTGAAACCTTAGTTGCCATAGACAACCAAGGGAAACACCAACACAGAAAGAATTTTATGGTTTTAAATGATGATTTATTGTGTGTCATCCAACAAAACTGAATGAGAACTCAGAGAGTAGATTTGTTTTGCCTGCGCCATCGTCAGAGCTATGAACTAGGAAATTTGCTTTAACCTCTCTGGCTCTCAGAATCACCATGTGTAATGCTTGCTGGATGGACTTGGTGTTTTCAACCCCCATTTTAAGCTTCTCTATATTTAAGCTTCAAATAAACAAATTCAAGAAACAAGTGACTAAGATGTTTCTAGCACTGTGCACACTGGGCTTTGTGTCGAGGAGGCTGTTTAACTCAGTTAACTCACATTTATTAAATATTCACCATGTGCTAGGTGATACAAATATTAAAAAGCAAAGGCAAGCCTTGTTCTCCTGGAATTCCTATTTTGGTAGAACACAGAGTAATGTAGATATCTACACCTCTGTAGGATTAAACATAATGAAAGATGATGTGGGGGATGTGGCTTGTGTCAGAGAAGATTCCAGGTAATGCTGAAATAGAATTTCAGGGATGAACTTTGAACATTTAAGCCACTTTAAAATCAACAGAGTTAATGTATAGATAAAGGTGCCATCTCTCTCAGTTGGTTATCTCATGAGTATCTGTGTGAAATGGCCCCTTACATGGCCAAGTAGCCCTTTAAGAATATTAGTCATTTAAGTACAGTTTACTACTAAGTAAGTAGTTTAGAATTCTCTCAAGTTAATTTTTTCAGGGCCATATATCTCATGTTTCGTAAACAGCACAACACATCTCCCACTTCCACCCTAACTTTCACTGCACAGGATTCAATTCCTGTCCATCCTCCTGGGAATAATGGTGAAATCTCAATTCTATTTTCAGATAGCCACTCCTCTCAGGTGAGGTTCATACCAAACTAGAGCATAGACATCAAAGGAAACAGAACAGTGAACAATTCTTATATAGCTTTCTATAAATAATAAAAATTGTTTCAAGGACTACCTCAGTGTCATTAAAAATGCCCAAAGACATTGTCTCTTATTCTGTCATTAGAATGATAATCTTATTTTATAGCAATTGAGTTTTTCAGCCCAGACTCCAGCTATTGACATTGATCTAAAGAAGTTACAAACAATAAATTGTTTATAAGAGAATTTTGCTTTCCAAGGAGTTTTTTGTCCTATCCTGAGAATAAAATTTGAATTCCAGGGGAATATACTATGTCCTGGTTCCTCCTAACTGGGAGACTATTAATAATAACCATATTGCTTTTGGAATCCTATTTTGAGCCAATATCTTTTACATACATTAGTCAACTTAATCTTCTCGATTATCTGCAATGGCAGGTACTGTTTTCCTTGAATTTTGAGGATCAGAGACACTAACTGACTCAATGGCAAAAATCTGGTCAGAAGACTTTAGCCAGTGCTCATTTTAATGCTGGTGGGATGTGTGAGGTTTTTTGTTTTCATATTTTTTTTCATATATTTCTGGGAATTTGAGCTGGAAATCCAAGATCACGCAGCAAAGAGCTTCTCTTCCCTTTGCAGAGGAGTCCTTTGTGATTCAGTTACCTAAAAGCTCGGGTGTAGGAAGATGTAGGCCAGGTAAGATTAGTAGCTTGGCAATACAGAAAATTCTTTGTGTATTCTTGATATAAATTTTATCAATCTTACCTTTACTATGGTTTATATTTACTAGTTAATAATGTCTCTTAACTAAGAATACTTTAAATAAAAACCAGTATTCTAGCAAAGACAGCTTTCAAGTGCATTTTCCCATTGCTAACGATCTTAATGTAGAAATGAGCTCTGATAGAGGGAAAAAATTTGGATTCTGGATGTAATCAAATGATGCTTCAGGTTACATTGTATTTTTGAAGAGCTTGCTTAAAAATAACTTACTTAAATAAACTACAAAATGTGTCACAGAAATAAAATAAAATGACATTTAAACTATCAACTTCTCTTATTTTAATTTTTTCTTATTGCATTTTCTGCTGTTGTAGCAATAGAGTGGTAAAATTTTCACTAGCTTCAAAACATCTCACTTTTCAAAACATTTACATGTATTTTAGAGAATTCCTGAGATCCGGCCATGGTGGGACTCAGGCAGCTTATTCACCGGCCCTCTTGGTAAGTGCCTGCGGCGCGGGCCTGGAGGAGAACCATTACCTATGAGCCTACTGCCACAAGGACTGAAAATCAAGCACCCTTCTCCCACCCTCCCCCAGCATAGCTACTGGGGATAGATGTCTTAGCATCTCTTGGGACGATGACCATTTGCAGAATAGCAAATATGGGGGATTTCCTTCTATCTTCTGTTTGAAGGCAAAGGTTGTTTTCACTGTTTTGTTTTGTTATGCTTCTTTTGCTCTATTCAGTACTCTCTATTGGTTTTATAATGTTCTATTTTTGGTTGAATTTTGCTATACCTAATTGACTGGACAACTATTGTGAAGTTAAAGAGATATACCATTATTACTACTATCCCAGTACCCTGCTGTGAAATCCTGTACCAATTTCATTGCATTGTCTTGATTGGCTTTGTTCTGTCTTGTGCTGTCATATTTTTACTAATTTCAAAATAAAATTTTAAAAATTCACATGTATTTTAATATTATTTTACTTAGTCTATACCTGCAACTGTATCCCTTGATTTTGTCAGTTATCTTTTCCCAAGAATTCTTTTTGTTTGTTTTCTTATAAGTCTTTATATTCTTCCTTTTTCTGAATACATAGCAGATTTACAATAGATACATAAAAGGATAAAGTACCATAAATTAAAAGATGGGATAAAGGGACAAAGAATAAACAAAAATAGAACAAAAAGTGTGCACAATTGTGACTCAAATATATCGAGATAAGTTATAACTGGGAGGCAATTTGGCAGTAAGTTATCAGTAGCTAAGTGGAGAAAATGTGGTCAGTTACAAAGTTCAGAGTCCATGAGATCAAAACAGAATGACTGCTCAACAACTCCGTCTCTTCTCAGCAGTGAAATCAGGCAGAATTTCTTTAAGGAGTCCTCATAAATAGGGCTATGTATGATTAGAAAGAACAATTCTTGATGACATTTGAATCAGAGGCACTTTCTTGTAGAGAACTTCAGTATAACCTGATGTGATCCCTCTGAAGATCATTTATCTAAGACTATTGCAGAGATCTTTGAGTTAGTTATAGTTATAGAAAGCATAAAATAAAAGAAAGAAATTCAAGAATAGAAAGTTTGGTCCTTTCCTGGCATTAAAGGCATTCTAATTAGTCTAGATCAAGACCAAAATTTTCTATATTCAAGAACAAAGTTTCCAAGGATCATGAAAAGATTTGTTTATGATTTCTGATTTTGTTGATGTGTACATCAGAAGTATGATTTTTAATGTAGACAGAATGAGGCATCCCTGGATATCAGTCACTGGTTATTAGAATCATGCTGCAAAGCACAGAATATTTGAAATGGACATTCTCAGCTACATCAGAATCTCTCACTCTTTTACAGGCTTCTTACAATGCTGGGACTGGCTTCCTGAAAACCACAATGTTCTAAGGAATCCCATGAGAGAGATGGAATAATTGGAAGAGGAAGAAGGGACTTTGTCATTCTTGTATATTGCTCCATGATTATTTGTCCACCAGCAATACCAGTTCTTTCCACAGCAAACTTGATTCCAATCTATAATTTTCCCTACCTTCCTAGACCCAGCTACCCCTAGAAATGCCAGTATGAGCATCTCAGTGATTTCTTCCCAGAGTTACCATTGTGCAATACCTTCTCAGAAGTTCAAGTCCTTCTTCCATGTTGCAAATTTTTAATATGATCTCTTCCTTTCTCCCCAGCCATAATGGTAGCAAATGCTTCCTGCTATTTTCACCTTTGTAATATCCCAGGGTTCCCTTTGGTGCTTTTTCAGTTTTCTAAGCTGAGTGATAACTTTTTACTGGTGTGATTTCTGTTCTTAGAACGACACAGTGGTAACACCTTCAGAGAATCCTTAAATCCCACAAACCAAGAAGTTATTATTCCCTCACCCTTAAATTCATGATGTCTTATAGACTCCAGCAAAAGGGTTATATAGAAAATAGTCCTGCATGAGTGAGCCCACCCTCCACTCAGGGGACCATTTTGGGCCTGCAACCATGAAAATGAACCCTCTTTCCAGGCCAGGCCAGTGGGAGCCCCGGTGACACCATAGGGTCCTAAAGAGGGTGTACATGATAGACAAGCCTAGAAAAAAAAGTCTCCCTGTTTGAATGTCCACTTTGTATTCTTTGATACTGTGATTTGAGCAACTATTTTCAAGATGATAATATGTAATCTATTAACAGGTGATTTCTTACTGTTATGTTGTTTTTTTTTTTTTTTTTTGTAGTTCTGTATTACATGTACCCTTACACCGCTTTGTTTTGTTTTGTGTTTTTCTCTTTTTCCTCTTAAAAAAAAAGTCTGAAGCAGCAGTAACAATATCAGCCATATCAGTTCCCCGGGATAGTCATCCAAGGAAGTATACAGGACTCATCAACTAGCCTTTCCAGGAGAAGTCTGGGTGACTTCCTCCTGCTCTACACTGCATAACTGGTAATAAGGGGAACACCAGCCACAAAGGAGGACCGTCACTAAGGTACACACAATGTACAGGCAAGACTGGTGAGATTGAGAAGACTGAAATATGAATCTTAGATCAACCAGCATTTTGCTTAGGGACAAAGACACACTGAACAGAACCAGAAAATGATAAGATGAAAAAGCAAAATGCAATCTCAGAACCCCAGCTCACCCAGAACAAGTATAGGAGACATCAACATAGAAGAAACTGGAAGACGTATACCTGAAATTTCTGAAAAGACAGTAAGTGAATAAAGAAATAAATCCATCAGGTTATAGAAGAAATCAGATCAGAAATAATTTCTGAGGGGGAGAACCAGCAGTGTCTCCTAAGATCCACGCCATGTTGGAACTTGGGACTCTGGGAAGCCAAGCAAGCACCTCCCCTCCCTGGTAAGCAGAGGCAGTGTGGCCCACTGCAGTCCTTCCAAGGGGAGAAACAGCAATGTCTCCTGAGATCCATGCCATGTTGGGAAGCCAAGCAAACACCTCCCCTCCCTGGTAAGCGGAGACAGGGTGGCAGATTGCAGCCCTGCCAGGAGGAGAACCAGCAGTGTCTCCTGAGATCCACGCCATATTGGAACTGAGGACGCTGTGAAAACAAATGACCATCCTGCCTCCCTGCTTAGCAATAGTGAACTTACTGCTACATAGCCTAGAGTCAAATATTCCACTTCCCCTATCCTCCTCGCCCCCCCCCACCCATTAGCAAATGGGAACCAGAAATCTGAGCATCTCCTGGCAGGTTGACCATAGCAAATAAGGGGGATTTCCTTCTACCATCTCTTTGAAGGCAAATATTTTTATTACTGTTTTGCTCTTTTCTAATTAATGGTACTGCTCTATTCAATATTCTGTTTTGTTAAGTTCTATAGTGTTCTATATTTCATCTCATTTTGATATACGTGACTGAAAGAACAACTATTATAAAGATAACAAAATATACTATGATACCTATTACTGTTATCCCGGTAACCTGCTGTGAAGTTCTGTACCAATTTCACTGTACGATCTTAGTTGGCTTTATTCTCACTTGTGCTGTTGTATACTTTCAAAATATAAAAAAAAACTGCACAAAAAAAGAAAGAAAGAATTTCTGAGGTAAAGAAGAATTGACATTCATAATGAAGGAATTGATTAGAATAGCTAGAGAAAGCATAGATAAAAATACAGAAGCATAGGAAAATGAAAGTAACTTTAAAAGAACAATATATGAAAGAAATAAAATGTATGAAACAGATTTGAAGAAATAACCAGGAAATTAAAAATTACACTGAAAGCTGGAAAAGCTACTTGAATGAAATTAAAGATAGACTTTCAGGCCTTGAAGACAAGCTCATGGCTTGTAATCACAAAAGGAAAAGTCTCTTAAGAATAACAATGGACCATGAAATGACAATTCAAATGTTCCAAGCTAATGCAAACAAAAATAAGATAGGCTTGATAGATGTCAATTAAAAAAGCAGGAGTCAATACAAATGACATAAAAATATTTGCAAAAGTAATAACAGAAAATTCCCCAAGCATAGGTACAGAATCTCACATACAGACAAGTAAGACAAATAGAACTCCAAACAGGAATAACCAAAATGAATCTACACCCAGACATATAATAATCAAGATCCCAGAAGTTGAGCACAAAAAGAGAATATGAAAAGTTGTTAGAGAAAAGAAACAGATTACCTATGAAGGAAAGCCCAATAGAATCACAGCTGATCTCTCAACATGAATCTTCAAATCAAGAAGAGCTTGGAGGGAAGTATCTCAAGCCCTTAAAAAAAATAACTTCCAACCTAGATTGATGTATCCTGAAATACTATCTTTCAAAATTAGTGGAGAACTAAGATACTTCCATAACAAAGAATAACTGAAGAAATTCATGCCCACAAATTCAACACTACAAAGGATAATAAAATATATTCTAGATAGACATAAATATGACCACAGTTCCCAGAACAATATGAAAAAGAAACCATCAAGTAGGGAAGGCAGCTAAACAGAGGGGGAAAAAATAAGGAACCAACAACAGGAAAGTAACATAACAAAGACAAGCAGGTACATATCAGTTATAACCATCAGTGTAAATGGGTTCAATTTACCAAGCAAAAGAAACAGATTGGCAGAATGGATATTGAAACAAAAGCCTACAATATGCCATATACAAGAAACACCTTTAACTCAAAGAAACTCAGAGACTAAAGGTCAAAGAATGGAAAAAAAATCTCTATGCCTCAAGAATTCAGAGAAAAGCAGTGGTAGCTATCCTGTTTGCAGAAAATGTGAACTTCAAACCAAAAATGATCAAAAGTGAAAAAGAGTGAAGTTCACCATATACTTGTTAGAGGAAAAATTCAAGAAGAAGAGATAATAATCATAAATATATATGCGCCAAATATGGAAGAATCCAACTATATAAGAAAAATCTTAGCATACATGAAAAATCAAGTAAACAATAGCACAATTGTAACAGGGGACTTTGATACTCCATTAACACAAAGAGATAGATCATCTCAACAAAAATCTAGCAAATAAATAACATAACAGAATCAAATATGTGAACAAATGGACTTAGTAGACATTTATAGTGTTCCATCAAATGACATCAGAATACATATTCTCAGCTGCACACAGGGCATTATCTAAAATTGATCATATACTAGCCTATAGAAAATGCTCAAGTAAGTGCAAAAGGAACTGAAATTATTCCATGCATACTATCTGACCATATGAAATTGGAAATTAATGGCAAAAGAAACTGTGAAAATCCATAAACACATAGAAATTAAATAACATCCTCCTGAACAACCACTGGGTCACAGATGAAATTAAAGAGGAAATTAAATAATATCTATAATCAGATGAAAATTTAAATACAACATATCAGAACTTGTGGGACGTAATGAAAGAAGTCATGAGAGGGGAAATTTATCGTGATGGATCTCATACCATGAAAACAGAATAAATACAAACAAACAATCCTCAAGCTTCTAGAAAAAGAAGAGT